ATCAGCTGTTTGTAATAATTTTATTGAACGTTTGTGTGTATAGAAAAGTAAAATTATTTTTGGTTATATTAACCGAACATTTGATTGAAATTATTTTATTCATTTAACATTTTCAATTAACATTTGATAGCTGTTGCCAGACTCTTTTTAATGTACTAATTACTGCGGTAAATATTATCACATGACTCAGTGGTTGAATTGGTAAAGACACCTGTCGCGGAATGTAGAAAGATGTGTTCAGATTCGAAATATGGCTGAGGTGATATTTTTCGCAATAAACTCTTACGTTTTAAGATGCTTATTAGTATCATTAAATTGCTTGTCAATTTAATTTGTAATATTATCGTAATTTTAGTTCAAGATTACGTTTGAAAACCAAACAGAACTGTACATGTATATAAATTTACATCAAAATAATATTAAGAATTTATTAGATCTAACTTAGGACGAATAAGCATTTTCCTAGTTATGTTAAAAAACTTTATATAGCGATAATTCACAAATGAGGATCTTAAATTATAAGACTGAAAATAATATATTATAGTGATATCCATGAATTCTGAAAATTCGAAGTGCGTTTCATGAATTTTGCAACGTGGTGCATCCAGTAGTGCATCACATCAGCAATCTTTAAACGTGCTACGTAGCCGCTGTCATCGGGAACTAGAGAAGTGCGTAAATCGCGCCAGTTATATTTAGTGATACCAATGCGACTATCTTGCGTAGTTTCGCCCCACGCGAGCGAAGTTCGACCGTGTCTAAGTGATGTTGGTTAGCATCTAGAAAAATTTAAGCGATTCAGAGATCCAAAACTCCAACACAGGTCATTAGAATGTACCATCTCCTGTACAAAATAACTGAACAAGTAAAATTCTTTTTATTACCTTATCGTGAAACTGTTTAATTAAATATTTATACTATCTTTTATATTGCTACGTTAAGTTGCTTTCAATGCTAAAAGTAACGTACGTGATTAACGTTTGCTAAATCCAATATTAAAAAATGGTCATCAGATTTAAAACATTTCTAAATGAAATATCTTTAACATTTCTCTCAGTAAGTGTTCGTTTAACTACAAACAGCAAATAGACCAGATTATATTAGGTCGTTATTTTATTAAAAGTGTCTTTCAATGCTAACAAGAAGTATATTAATATATACCTGCCATTTTTATCGTTTTCTAATTATATTATTTGCATTTCATTACGTATCCGCGTCTTAGAGCGACGCAAAATAACGTAATAAAAAACTTGCTGTCAATAGAAAAGTTTCCATATTCATAAATCGAAAAAAGCCATTTTCAAGTCGTATATCTTCTCAAAGATCGATCGAAACGCGGTTTGCAATTATATCGTTTATTATATCACATTTATTCCTTATTCAGCAACATGATGGTATTTTACCATGCGTCTATTCGTCCGCACACGCGCGCCTCATCGATCTAAAGCCCGCAGAAATATTTCGCCATTTCGTTGCATCCGGGCGGCAATGATCTCCTTTATCAAACTACCGGATGGTCGTCAATACATCGCGTTCGACCATCTGTCTGCTTCGCTCGTTCGTGATCTGGTACCTGCCTGACTGCGCCCGTACCTGCAATCCCATACGTCTGTCGGACTACCTACCTGCCTGCCCTCCTTGTCCGCTTGCTTGTCTACCTATCTACTTGTCTTTCCGCCTGCCTACCTACGCGTACAGTCAGGCATATTAGTGGTGCCCGGTGAGCCTTCATTCCACAGGCAAATCTTTCTGTGACATTCGCAATCAATAAGCGTGTCTTTTCACTAAATTATTTTACGGTTTGACGATCTTATGCTTGTAAAGGAACAAAAGGGATCGGTAAAATATTCCTTAGAGACGCGGATGAGCTGTGCCACTAATGCATAAGGTTGTACCTACACCTACCTGCCAAGCTATCTCTTCGTTTGCCCACCAGCCTACCTAATCGACGACGTATCTGCTCGGTTAAAATAACGCAGTACATACGCATCTTTGCATTGCCTTATGAAACCTACGAAGAATCGATTTCATCCTTTGGATAAATCCAAAGCCGATCACGTGGGGACATGCGGAATTGCTGTCAATAAACTCTTCGACGCATCGGACATCCCTCCTGGCGATTTTACAAAGTTCTTCTGATAATAATATAAGCGAAGATCGATTTTACGAGACGAGATAAAAATAAGTTGATAACGAAGATGGCAAATAGACTAGAATAAGGAATTACTTTGTAAAAGAGAGTAACTAGTTACAATTCTGTTGTTTCAAAAAAACTATAGTTATAAGTTATTTTATATATATTAAGACTCTAAAAAATAACACATTAACAGTTACAATAACTCAAAAAGTTTTCATCTTCAACTTACTTTTCTATTTATTCTATCAGAATATGGATAACATTGAATTCATTATAGAACCATCAAAGAAAAAGATAGATTTACATTTACAATGTTAGATATACAATTTTATTTACAAAAGTATGAAAAGGCAATATAGTGCAAACCTAAAATAAAAGAATTATAACTAATATCTATCAATTAAAATATCTATCAATTCCTTGACTTTTAATGATTGAAAAAAATGTAATTAGATAAAACAATTCGCGTTTTAGCGCTCTCTGTATGTTTCTTTACTATTTGTTTGCAAAGAGAAAGAAATTGCTTAATTTCTATTCTTAATATCTATACTCTATACTTAATTATCTTTCAAGATCGAATTGTCGCTAATCAGAGATTACAATGTATTCAAATTTCTGTATTGTAATATAAGCAAAAAACGCAAGACGCATATAATATTGATTCAAAATAAGAAGCTGAAATAAAATAGGAAAACCAATCATAGATTATACGTAAAAACCAAGGATACTGCAACATGTCTTTTCTTGATTTTATAATCTTCTCAAACACGATAAAATTGAAAGATTTTTCCCGTTGTTCGTTTCACGTCTGCGTAGCTACATCTGCGTAGCTAGCTAGACCATGATTCCATTGCGAAAAAAACGTTACAATATTTCGTAGATCAAACTGGCTATTGCGGACGTTGAAAATATCGCGAATTAAAATAAAAAATTATTAGATCCGGAGAGCCCCGAGGATAAGCAAGAGCGTAAAGTTTTCCAAGAGAATTATACTCCCGATGACGGCAGGGAAAGAATGACGTCACGTTGAGATAATGATCATTAGTAGTTGACATAAATCATGTAACTGCAATCGTAAAGTACACGCGCCGGGGTTAGCGCTCCACGGTGTTGAGCAATACACGCAAGCGTAAATTACCGCAACGTGTCTGTTTTAGCGAGATTTTCAAAACTGTCGAGATTGCGTCATTTTGCGCAGTAAAAACGGGTTACACACGATCGCGATATAGATAAACGGAAGGTTACCACGCGCGATTTCCATCACACTTCTCTCCCCTACGTCTACGTACGTTTCTTCTAATGTTGCACATCGGTCCGCGAATAACCTAGGCCCTGTAGATACCTCAACCGTGAAGAGTCCTTGATACGCGAGCGTGCACAACCGACGACATATATATGTAGGCCAAGCATTCGTGTGTTTCGTCGTCATATGTGCACAAGCCAAGTGTGCGTATACACTTCACATGGACTCGAGAAAGGCTAGACATTCTGTCTGTTGATGGAAAAGTACATTTATTTCGAATCAAAGAAAATACAAGGCTCGTAATTTGCAAAGTAAAATATAAAAGAGAAAGCGGTAAAACAGAAGAATTACATGCAGTAATGGATATTTGAAATAAGAATTAATGAAATAATTTATTCTAAGCAATCGTATAACTTATGCTAAAATTTATTAATTAAGAATAATAGATGCTAATTTTACATTTAATTCATTTTGAAATACATAAATCTATTTTTACATAGAGTAATTATATATTTTTCTTGCGCTCTTTGGGTGATAGAAAACTATCAATTATTATATAAATTTCAGAATAAATATTTTGATCATTAAGAGAACTACTTAGACCATGAATCACAAAAATTTTAACTCTCAAAAATACTTTTAAATGCAAGATTTTAGCTTATTTTTTTATTAATTAAAGCATTCAAAAGGTGTTCGACCGACGATTAAAACTTCTTGAATGTTATTCAGGATTTTAATAACATTCATCAAGATCAAGACCATTGGAGATTGTTTCTCCTATTTGAAAAATGCTAATGAAGGCGGTACTTGAATTTTGTCAACTCATATTTCCAAAAATACTTGACCAAAAGAAATTTCATTGTAATATTTTGAAAAGCTCTCGAGTTAAGCTACAAGAATATGCAATAAAAAATGGGATTTCTATTTAAGAAATTGAAGTGAGCTATATAATGGCTAAACAATTATTTAAAAAAAATCAAACCAATAGCATCTTATATCCCCTTTGAAGTCATATAACTTTATATCTTGTACATATATCCAAAATATAAATCGTTGATTACTTGTAATAAGATGAAAAAAAATGCACAGAAACTTTCGCCTAATCTTTAATACATATATTTTTTACTACAAAAACAACATTAAAATATTTTTAAGTGATTAATAATTATTTTCGCAACACAAGAACAATTAACGACATGTGCATCCCATGACAACGGAATTTAATCTACCCATAGATACAAAAAGAGCAACATTGTAACAATCGTATGTATAATATCAGTTACAGATCTCAACACTCTAAATTACTCTAAACAGTCATTGAGAGAGAGAGAGAGAGAGAGAGACCAATGGAATTCCATGATTCACGATGTCCCGATCCCCACTATATTAATTTTGTGAATTTTATACATTTTGCGTTAATGTTTTTGAACCACACACCAATTACTATTCTCGAAACTCTATTTTATGCCAAAATTTAGAAGATATTACATTATTAATTTTGTTAATTTAATATTACTGATGCTAATAAAGATCTTATAAATTTACCAAATATATTTATTATGAAAAACAATACATTACTCAGATGGTGATTTATTCTGTGTATTCACAGTTACTATTTGTTTTTAATAAATTATTATTTAAATTTGTTTGAAAGACTGTATGATTGAAATTTAATCGAAATAAAATGCGTGATTAATACATATGTGGATAAAAAATAATTATAAATAACGAAAACATTTTGTAGTAAACAATCCGAATATAATTGGGAAGGGAAAAAAATGTTTAAGAGCTAAAAATTAAAAGTTAATACCGTGCATTTTCAGTTTGATAACAATTTTTCTGCCTAGCTTATTTTTAATGTAAATATTCCGATGTATTTCAACTACAATAAAATGAAACTCGTACATTGTGAGTGCATTCTGGCGCTTATAATGCTCGCGAACGTTATTTGTCTTTGTTTAATATTTAATAAACAATGAAGTGAATTCCATGAGTTTTACGAGCGTCAAATGGAATGCATCGTAAGTTGAAGTAAGACCGAAACGATAGAAAGGAAAAAGGAAGAAGTATGAAAATATCAACTTTTCTATTGGTGACTGGTATGACTGCCAGTCACAGTAGGCATTTCCGGAGGTTGGCATGTGCAAGATTTCCATCAGGCCACACTTTGCAAGGGTCTATCTTTCGTGAGTTACCTTAGTTTGCTAGTGCTTAAGGATTTGAGAATTTGAGAGTTTAGGAATAAATTTGATTTTCTAACAATTTCAGATTTTGAAAGTGAAAAAGTTTGATGAATCTAAAGTACCATAACACTTTTACTTGGATAATAATTTGAAATAGTTGAACAAAATTGGTGCAATGCGAAATGAGTGATAGAAGTGATAGTGATAAGGAGATCGTAAGAATAATGCACAATAGGATTTTATTTATTAAAAATAGAAAAAATTGAAAGACTCGAAAATATCTAAAACATTAAGCGTAAAACGAGACTTAATAAAAAGAGGCATCGTAATAGGAGTGTTTAATTAACTTGTGTAAAAAAACTCGTGTATGGTGTTTGTTAACAATACTCAGTTGAACGTTTCGATTCTGCTTTGAGTCATCCTCAGCAACAATATAAACGGTCAAACGCTTTCGAGGATCAAGTATCGCTCCAGTTATTTAATGCGTTGCATCGTTTGCGCACAGATTAATCTATCAAGTGCAGTCTTCTTTATTGGGGTAAGTCTCATTTAACTTCTAGATATTTGCATAAAAGAATTAATCTTCAACTCCAGCAACTGGTCATTTGGACCCACCCAGAGCAAAAAATTTATTGGTACTACGAGTTTTTAAATTGTACAGGTAAAAAAATTGTGAACCTTTCTCTAATAATCGCCGTAAAGGTTTATTTGCGTTCTACATTTCAAAGAGATAAGACATTTCAAAGAGATAAGACTTTGGAACTTCGGTGCAATTTTCACAACTATAGTTGAAGGTTAATTCCAACAAACAATGCTGGAGTTGCTGCATGTCGTGTACTTTAAGCATTACAAGGGCTCATATATCACTAATCGAAAATATATCGTATCCTAGGCTTACGATAATCTTACTTTAATTACGATAGTCTTTATACGTAAATTTTAAATAATCCAATCTAACATTCACAAGTCAGCTCTTTTCCGACGATCTATTGCAAAAGGATAAGAAGTAGTTGCAACAGCAGCAGCTACTATTTCTGAGTTTGATTATTCATTATTAAAATAGATGAAGTAAATAAAATGCTGTTACACGTGTCCGGCTCGTTCACTCGGTTGTTGCCTGATGCCGTCGCAAGCAACACGTGCCTCTCATCTGCGTCAACATAGTAAAACGTCTGAATTAGAACCTTCGTGCTAAACGCGTGTGTAGCTACGCGTGTTGCAACTGGTCCATATTGTCTATTCGATACCCGAGTGACCTTGCTCCTGAACGTGTTGTCGCGGAAGCGCACGATTTATCATCCCGAAGTTAAGGCCTTTAATGAGACCTCGCCGAAAGATTTAGTATTCCGAGGTACAACTACTTGGCTCGCGAACGAGCCTTCAGCTTGTCCACGTGTACGTTCTCTCTTCTGTGCTAGATGTATTTCTCCTTCGATACCGATCGCCTCGTCCCCTCGATTATTTGCGTCTTAACAACAATCGTAACACGTGTCAATCGTCGGCTTCGGAAGAACGTCGAATCGTAACTCAGGCATGTGCGACCGCGTGTCGTAAATGCGCTTAGGCGTTATACTTGTCGCCGCTACCAAGAAGCAGCTCGACCGCGACGCAACCGAGTTGCATACGCATATAAATGCAGTCGGTCGCGCGTGCGTTTCAGTTCGGGAGGAATAGAAAGCGTGGAATAAGGGGCGGCGGGGGGGGGGAAGGGCGGGAGAGAAAGAGGGAAGGAGAGAAAGAGAGAGGGACGGAGTGCGGTCTCTCAAACGATGCAGCCGGCATCGTGTATATGCGATGTAAACAGTGCGGTTGCTGCCAGCCCTGACCGGCCGGGTGCAACGCCACCGCGGACCTTGAGCGATTATTTTACTGTGAACTTCGCCTCGCGTGCTTCGGCACCGCGGCAGCTCCGTTTCACGCGCATCGCATTTTAGCGCAGCGCTATGCACGGAGTGCGGTTTTTTACGTGCCTTTTTTAAGGGAGACAATCCGTCGCGCAGCAAGTATCTCGCGAGAGGGTATTGCGAAAGATAGGATACGATACCGAGGAGAGATACTCGCGTTTCCGGAATATATCTTATGTTAGATAAAGAAGCGCGCGATGGTTTAATCCAATCCCTTGAGTTAAATAATTTTCTTTCTTTAACTTCCATATCAAGATTTAAGTAAATTTCTGCGTGGCTAATTTCAACGTTCGTATTAACATGTGCACTTAATAAACGAACTAGCTTCGAGTCAAATTTAACTATTATTACAGGGATTGTTATCATCCAATATCTGCGAGCAATAGCCGAACGCGTTTAACAAGTGATACGAGGAGAAATAATCAGGTGTATTATACGGAAAACTGTAGATGTCCCAAAAGATAGGTGGACGAGATAAGCACACAAAGAAAGACGTGAGTACATATGCACTCGCAAGAACACCTCGAGAAGTGTCAAGTTTTGATTTTAATACAATTTGTACCTATATATATATATATATATATATTAGGTGTACAA